AAGATCAATAATACTTAATACTGGATGTGCTTTAACACTGAAAAATGATGAAGACAGTCTCTGCAAACACTCATTTATCTACTCTGCCCTTTCTTGTCTTTGCAGATGGAAGGACCCATAAACACAGTTGTTTGTCTTTGTTGTGTGTGTGGTGTGTGTGTGCGTGTCCTGATGGTCCAGAGAGGTTGAAACACCAGCAGCTTGTGTGTAGTGATGCTGTGACAGGGCCAGGCTACAGGGAGGTGGAGTGGACAGCAGAGCTTCATCCAGCAGTGACAGAAATCAGACGTGCAGATGGCTGACAGTGCTGTAAAAATGCTCTGAGAGCTCCTCTGTTAGACACCATGTAGAATCTATCGTCATCCCTTTGTGTTCTTTCATCACAGTGTCTTTTTGCAGACACTAGGTTCAGTTTTATTTTCTTTGAAAAGTTACCTAAATACATTTTTAATATCTTTTGTATAATTGATGTAATTTTAAGTTATTTATCATGGTTTTGAAATCTATCATGTGACAATGACTTCAAGTATCCTTCTTGAAACAGTATTTTTTTTTTCATCTACATAATCTGTATAGTGCAACTGATCAGGGAAAAAATGTTCAATAATTGAAAAAAGAGATTTGTTTTATACTTTCTAACATAATAACTGGGATCATGTGATATAAACACTATCGTAGAGAATTGCAAACTGTCCAGAGTTTGGTGTACTATATATCTTCAGTAATTTAGATAATGAAAGTATCCAGTGGTTCAGCAGATGAAGTGCAGGAGGTAGAGGTTTTTTCATGGATGCTAAATCCATCAGTTGTTTTGTTACTGTTAGAGATGTTACACAGTCATGTGACTTCCCTGGGTGAAGACAATTGGCAGCAGTCTGAAGTTTGAAATCCCTCAGCTGATGAATAAGGCTACGTTCACACTGCAGGTCTCAATTCCAATTTTTTGATCAAATCAGATTTTTTTTTTTGTCTGATTGTTCACCCTTCAAATACAATGTGACAGCAAACGTGCTCTAGTGTGAACAGTTCACGGCCCTCAAACCGGCCTGCGTGTGCAAAAGAAGATGTCACACACAACATGCTCTGTTTGCAGAAGTAAAAATGGATTTGGAAATATCAGATTTGTGCTGTTCAAACTGTCAGACAATGATCGGATATGGGTCACATAGGGTCAAAAAGTTGGATTTGATGCGCTCTTGCCTGCAGTGTGAGCGTAGCTTTAGTTATCTGTCAATAATGAACCTTAATGTTTTATATGGATAATAAGGATCAATAAATGTGTGGATTTGACTCAAAGGAATGACTCTGACTCATGGAACGACTTCCTTCCTGCTTTTCTGTCATGTCGATCAAATTCAGACCTCTAGCTTAATTAGTCACCCACCACCACAGCTTTCCAATTAAAGCTCAACATTCCTGCTTCAGCCAGTCCACAAATTTTAATGAAGTGTTTTTTGTGTTAAACCTGGCAGTGATATAGATTCCAACAGCATCATACTCCTGTTGCATATGGGATCACCCACATCTGTACTGGGTCACGAGGTGGGGTTAAGGCAGACAAGCCTGCAAATAATTTATAAACTTTGTAAAACAGTTAAAAATGCTTTAATTTATTAGAAGGAGGATATTTCTATGATCTCTCCAGGTTTCAGATTTCACTACACCACAATATAGTGAAAAAGTTTAATACTATACACTACAAAAATATCTTAAGACCATTTATGACCAACATCTTAAAAAAAAATTATGCATGACGATAATGCATGATTTTATTGTAGTAAGATATGAATGGAATAAGCTGCACACAATAAAAAAAAGTGACATCACTTGAAACATCATATGCACAGAGTGAAACAGATGATACAGTTTAAATGTATGTGAATTAGTTAAAAAATATTAAAATTTAAATTATTAAAAGTTTGATAATCCCAACTGTAAGACCGAAGGAAGGGGAGTGTGGCAGGAAGAAGCAGAAGGGAAACACCGGGGGCCCGGAATGGGGATCTCTATAGTGTTGATGGCCATGGGGCCAGGGAGCAAAATGTAGTCACCGATAATCTTTCATTACATATATCATGCAATATGAGTTCAGAGGCTATTAAAACACAATCACCTGAGTATATAAGAACAGACTTCTACTTCATTATTTCTCATTATATTTACGTACCAAGGGAATTTAAATTTTACATTTATTTTTACTTTGTGTGCTGAATTAAAAAAAGAAACATAATTTGGATTTTATTGTGTTTTGTGTCCAAGTTAGGTTTGCTTCTCCTACAGAGTAAAAATATTTTTGCTTTCACAAAATATTCAAAAAATCAATAAATAAATCCATACATGCTTACATGCACATGCAAATAAATACATAAATAAATAAATGGGATATTTAAACCACAGAAAAACTCAACGATTCATGAAAGAAAAAGTTGCTTCCACTGCAAAACATCTGACCACACTGCCACCTGCTGGACTGAAGATAAAATACACCTAATGAAACAGGATTAAAGTAGGTAAGAAAAAGAAAACTCAAAAAATAAAACAGCAACAACACATGGCTAGAAAAAAAAGGTTACATAATTTTACAAAACATGATGTACACTTCATTTTTAAACTTTAAAAAATGAAAAAAGATGTTTCTATTTCCGTAAAATTTAATCGTGATCTGTTCTGTGTCATACCTGAAAGAACGTAAAATATAGATTACTGTAAAAATATTGCACATGACTACCAAATGAATACTGTTAACAGATCAGCTTTTATTTTCTATTTTGCTGTTGTTGTTTCTATTTTAGTCTTTTTTGCATGAATTAATTCAAGCCCGCTATAACCACGGTTTGAAGTCTTCATTTGACTAAAGCTGGTGGGTGTTTAGAGTTCGTCTGTTTGGAGGATTTAATCCCATCTCTCTGTTAAACAGAGAAAAGAAAAAAAAACATATATACAAATAATTTATGTTTCATTTCATGGGATTTAATGCATTCATAATCTGAATTGAATCATTAAAAAAATTGAGACAGGAGTTAGACTCACAGAAAACTGGCTGACAAAAGTACTATTCTTTTAAATGGGTTTAAACATTTTCATAAACAAAACTTAATTCCATTTTGCTTTAATTGCTCTTTGATCTTCCCATATTTTTCCTTGTTTATCTGAATAAAATATCAATACAAGCAACATACAATTAAAAAGTGAAAGAAGAACATAACTTTACCTTCTTTTCCATTTGCAGTACAGTGCCAGACCAGCTGCTGCCACGACCAAAAAAGCTGCAAAGACTCCTCCTCTGAAGCCTCTATCAGGCACAAAATTCCCTAAATTGAAAGATTATTTTTCATTTAAACTGTCGGATGTATATTTATCGTAAACATTTTATAAATAACTGACACGTTTTTGCGTGTTGATGAATGAGTAATTGTAAAGAAAAGTAAATAACCAGCACTCTACACCCTATTTGATTTGTTGGTTTCCAGACTCACCTTGTTCACTTAAAGTTGCGTTCCTCCAGTTTCTACGAGTGCTGATGTTACAGCTAAAAACAGAATCTTTATCACTGTCTGAAAGTATCAGAGAACTGCTGATGTTGTAAAGCTGCTGTTCAGTCTGCTGGACTGTGGTTTCATACTGGAGCGACACATTGGATGGAGGGCTGGTGGACCAGATTAACTGGGGTTCAGGGAAGATTCCCTCTGAGCTGCAGTTCATCGTGTTTCCTACTTGCTGAAGATTGACTTCTTGTACTGGAGCTGCAAAAGTGTATTCAAATTTCTCATGTTACAATCAGCTTTTTTTCTTGCCTGCTATATATAGACATAATGAATTGCAACTTACAGTTACAATATTAACTCAGAGCTGCAGGTTTTAAGTATAAGTTCAACGAATTTTCACTAAATATGAAGAGAAACTCATAAATTAAAAAAGTATAACCTGAATGCTCACGATTTTGTCTTATATTCTTCTGTATTTTTATTTCATGTGCTATTATAGTCATATTTTACTCCATACCATTTACTTCAAGGTTTATAAATGATTCCTTGTTTCCTGTGATGGTGCTGGTGTAGCATTTGTATCTGCCTTCATCCTGAACATCCGCCCACATCAGCAGGAGTGAAGCATTTCCTCTGGAGATTTGGTTGTTGAATAGTGAAGTCCTGCTTCTGAAATGCTTGTCCTGAAGTGCGGGCTGGTCTTGGTTGTGGTAGAATGAGTGGACACGAATGTTTCCTGCAGTTTCCTGCAGCCAGTGAATGACTATGTCAGTGTCACTTTGGAAAGTGCACGGTAAGATGCATTTTTCCATAAATACACAGGATACTTCAGTATCTGAAACATCAGATAATTAAAAACATAAAAGCTCAGTTTAGGAAAAGCAGCTCTGTAACCCACATTAGCTCCTGAGTCAACAAAACAAAGACATCAGCAAAAGTGTTTGTCATCACGGAAGTCTTAACAGCTGCAAACCATTGTCAGCACCTGGTTACATCTCGGCTTAACACAATGCAGCACAAAGTAAACATGTCAATCAACCTCACGATGCTAGATCAGGAAAAATGAGTGGCATCTGAATCACTGGGCGAGAAGCAAACAACATTTTTCTTCACACACACACACACACACCCACGCACACACACGCACACATATACTAGACACAATCTAAGTCCTACAGTGGCTTCATTTTTGTAAGATAACAGCAATAGCACTTTTTTAGTTACCTGAAACATACCAGAACACGACAGCTGTTTGTTCTGTTGATTGTTTTTAACTAAAAAACATTATAATTAATCAGTTACATTTCAGTTGTTAGTATTAAAATTTGTCATAGCATCATGGCAACAATAGTTGGAGTGTTAACATCGTATTTACCTCCTTTGGAAACAGTCATCATCCACAAAAACACCACAGTCACAAAAAACATAACAAAGTTGACGCCCATCATGTTTCCTTCAATTCATGGGACCAAAACACCAAAAAAGAAAAGAGATTTGAGAAAAGACGTTTCCTGGTGCCGTAGTTAATCTCAGCTGTATCTAGACAAACAGGTCTGTCCTTACAGGTGTCAGCTATGTATCGCTGTTTCATCAACACAGATGGAGAAACAAAAAAAGGAGGTGGAGAACTAAGAAGGACAATTAAGTATTTTTTAAGATGCTTAGCCACAACCCTTTCTAAAATTCTAGCAACAAATGGTATTTTTCGAGATCTACACTGCTATGACGAGAAGGGTCAAGCATTGACGTTATTTTACATGGCAGCATATTTAAAATAAAAGGGACTTGACAAATGAAGCATTGATTATAGTGAGCACACAGGAACTGACAGACTGAAAGACATTTTCTTAGAGGCTTCATTTAAAAAAAACAGCAGGTGGAACAGGAGTACAGAAGCAGGCAGCTCTCGCATCTGTGACTCACATCTCCTCGTTTTTACTTTGGGTTTGAATATTTGCTGTATTTTTTCTAAAGACAGATGTCAGAAAGAACTGCAGAGTGTGGATGAGCACTCCTGAGGTGACAGGGTCTCAGAGACCCAGGCCCTGCACATTCAAGGAAGGCAGAGAAAGAAGAATCCCCCTCCTTGGAAAAGATCTAGGCACTGAGGCATTTTCCACATAGGCAATCAGAAAAGCTCAGCGTTGCTCACTAGCTACCCCACACTTCTGAAACAGTCTGAGCTTCACCTGGACACCTGCTCTTTCCTTCTCCTCCTCTGTGGTCTGCATGGATCCACAAAGTCCCCATTGAGACCACCAGATGAGGATCTAACCAGCTGCAAATCCAACAATAAGTGTCTCTCAGTAAAAGCACACAAACTCT